ATGCGACTTGAGTAATTTGAGACATCTCTACCTTTATTATTCTCACGAAGCTTTCCAGATGCCGCCTAAAATCGGAATATTGTCTCGTCTTCAAACATTACCCTTTTTTAGAGTGGGTGACAAGGAAGGCTGCCGAATCGAAGAGCTAGGGTTTCTGAAGAATCTTACAGGCAAACTGGATATATACGATCTTGAACTAGTGAATGGCATAGAAGAAGCTAAGAAGGCGGATCTGTTTGGAAAGCCAAAGATATATAAGTTACATTTAATTTGGGGAACATACACTTATGAGAATGTCTCAGAATGCAACAACAACGATGAAAGTGTCCTCGAAGGCCTCCAACCTCACCAGCATTTGAAGAGCCTAACAATTGAAGGGTTCAGAGGTACAAACTTCCCATCATGGACTANAATGCAACAACAACGATGAAAGTGTCCTCGAAGGCCTCCAACCTCACCAGAATTTGAAGAGCATAACTATTGAAGGGGTCAGAGGTTCAAACTTCGCATCATGGACTATGAGAATGGAGGTATTCCTTGATGGCAGTGGTTGGTTGAAACTTGATAAATTGATCGAGATCAATTTCAAAAATTGCAAAAATTGTGAAGAAATTCCCATGTTTGGCCACCTGCCACTCCTCAAATATCTTACCTTACACAATTTGACTAGCGTAAGATCCATAGGTCCTTCATTCTATGGTGGCCAAGAGACAAGAGTAATGTTCCCAGCACTTGAAAGACTCATTCTAAAGAACATGCCAAACCTAACAGAGTGGGCGGAAGCTGAGTTGAAGCCACTGGCGGAAACACGAACATGCAGAGAGCAGGTATTTCCTCGCCTTAAAGTTTTGGAGATTGAATATTGCCACAAATTGAATACTTCTCCAAGTCATTTTCCGTGCTTGAAAGAATTGAAGATTGTTAGTATGGATAGTGATTTTCCATTGACAAAGATTTTGAGTAGCAGTAACCTAACTTCTTTGGAAAAGCTCTCGATCAGGAATATATCAACGCTCACTTGTCTTCCCCACTTGAAAGGATGCCAGAAATATCTTCGAGAGTTGATTATTGAAGGTTGTGACAAATTGAGAGAATTACCTGATTATCTACATAGCTTCTGGTCTCTTAAGTCTTTGAGAATAATTGAATGTCTAAGTCTGCAATCAATTTCATATCAAAGTGGACAAAAAGGCCCCCCTTCTCTTCGACGTTTGGAAATTAGGGATTGCTCTGAGCTGAGCTGCCTACCAAGTGAAATGATTGAGTCCATCAAGTGTCTAGAGGAACTATACGTGACTGGATGCGAGAAACTCATTTCTTTTCCAATAGATTTGGGGGAATTGCCCAAGGGAATTGGCCTTCTTAGCAACTTAACGGACTTGGCTATTGGTGGATTCTCAGAATCAATTGATTTCAACTCATTCCAAGCTGCTCTCAACGGCATCCAACAATCCAAATCTCTCAGGCATTTGACTTTATATGGTTGGGAACAATGGGACTCATTGCCATATCAGCTTCAGTATCTCACATCGCTCTCAAGATTAAAATTAGTAGGTTTTGGAATTGAAGCATTGCCAGAGTGGTTTGGGGGTCTGTCGTCTCTGAAAAAATTAAATCTGATTTTCTTAAAAAAGCTTAGACATATGCCCTCTAAGGAAGCGATGCAACGCCTCACCAATCTAGAATATTTACAGGTTTATGACTGTCCATTGTTGGAGGAGAGGTGCAGGGAAGAAAGACGCCCTGATTCTGAGTGGTCAAAGATTTCACATATTCCTTTCATATCTAGTGGGCTACATGTTTAAAGAGACCTGATATAGTTTTGGTAAGTATTTGAGTTCAACTACTTAATTTTTCATTATTTCCATTTATTATACATTATAATATGTCATTAATTGGTAAATTTTAATGTATTTTGCACTAAATCAGATATTGCTGCATGAATTCAATCAACAAATCGCCAATCATTCATTCCCATATCAATCTCTATTTCCATTTGTAAATACATAAAAGATTTCACAT